CTACGGACTTGTAAAGAAACAGAGACTATGTTTACCGGAAAAATATATCTGTATCCACAGATAGATATTAACTACGGACTTGTAAAGAAACAGAGACTATGTTTACCAGAAAAATAGATTTGTATCCATCCACAGATAGATATTAACTACGGACTTGTAAAGAAACAGAGACTATGTTTACCAGAAAAATAGATCTGTATCCACAGATAGATATTAACTACGGACTTGTAAAGAAATAGAGACTATGTTTATCGAAAAAATAGATTTGTATCCACAGATAGTTATTAACTACGGACTTGTAAAGAAACAGAGACTATGTTTACCGAAAAATTAGATTTGTATCCATCCACAGACAGATATTAACTACGGACTTGTAAAGAAACAGAGACTATGTTTACCGAAAAATTTAGATTTGTATCCACAGATAGAGGCTAATTATGGACTTATAAAGAACTAGCACTAGATATGTAGGTAGGAAAGATTACATGAAGATATAACAAGAAAGGAAGACTTCGTTTATCAGATAACTGGAATTGGGTACATTGATAAGACAACTATATAGACATGTCAAGAAATTCACATATTCCGATTAAAAGCTATCTCAGAATGAGTATATAGATAATGAGGTTCGTTATGAAGCTGTAAACAAACAAAGACAATCTGTTTATTAGAACTGGGTATGCAGACAAACAGTTCGGACTCATAAAGAAAAAGGCATACTACGTTTATAATGTTCCACTTATTGTAACTGAAGGATTTGTTTGAATTTTAGCACAAAGCTACAGAATGGGCTATCTGTCCTCCGCCTACCACGGTTATCGAAACCCGGTTTCTAGCGTTGTAAGTCTGCAGACATACCGCTGTGCCACTGGGGGGGGGGGGTGTAACTGAAGGAACACCAGAAATACACATTTAGTTCTTCATTTGCTACATCTATCTGCGTTTAGCCTAATTAGGAATGTGTTATGCTGTTTAAGTGGAGAGATGAAAAAGCTGTCATTAGGGATAATTAAAGATTTACACATTCGAGTATCATACCCCAACGTCAATTACATATGTGGAAAGCGGTAACAATACCCGTGTAAAGAAAAGGGAGATACGAGTGACTCTAAATATAAATTAGGTTATATTTATCACTTGTTTATATAGTGGTTAGTTGGTTCGAATGCTGCTTGATCTGAGTTTCCAGATTGTAGAACAATGTGCAGCTTCTATAACAGTACAAATACTGATTGGTTAAAGAAGTGGAAGTATATATCTTATATATGTAGTCAGTTCACAATGATTTTCCATGCTAGCTATATAAACGCGTATACCATATGTACGAGATTCAACGACGAATGAATCGTTTGTTAAGATCACTACAACTACGTTAACCTAGCTGTTTTCTTTCTTGTATTATTTTATTTTATTTATATGATAACGAAATACAGCAGTTCCTTTATTGCGTCTATATTTTTCAGAATTAAAAATAATCAAATTATGTTTAGGTCTAAGTCGTTACCGTTTTTGAACCCAAATAAAGTTTATTGTTTTACGTTCCAAAGATAAAGAAATATGTTTATTAAAAAGACCATTGATTTACTTGAAGACCCCCTAGTATTACACATGAATTATAAATAACTAGTGCTTTACGAACATGTTACCTTACGGAAACAGGAAATACATGTCTATGCAGCATGGTTTATGGTATGATAATAGAGCTTCACGTGCTGTATGCTGCAGCATAGCTTATGGTATGATAATACAGCCTCACGTGCTGTATGCTATAGTACAGCTTATGGTATGATAATACAGCCTCACATGCTGTATGTTGAGTTACAGCTTATGGTATGATAATACAGCCTCACATGCTGTATG